CTCCCCCTCCCAGGTCCCACCAGGGGCGGACAGGTACTCACACAACGTCTGCACATCCACGTGGGCCAGGACAGCCCTCTTCTCCCCGATCTGGGCCCAACTACCGTCAGGATCCTGAATCCACTCGGCAGCTGTGCAGTGGTAGGTGCCCGAGTCCCCTGCCTGGGCACCCCCCACCACCATGTGGTACCGGTCAGCCCCCTCCTTGCCCAGCCGCACCTCCCCTGAAGCCAGCCGCTCGGCATAGGGGACCCCAGCCTCCACGGCCATATCTTGCCGGAGCCCCACCACCTCCTGCAGGGTCGCTCGCCCCACGGGTGCCTCGGGCACCACCCGGCCAAAGGACACAGCCAGGTGTGTGTGCTTCTGGGTGCTCGTCCGCGCCAGGCAGCCCAGGGCCAGCTCCTGCCCCTCATGCACAGTCAGGCGGGAGGGTGAGGTGGGGGCCTGGCGTCCTCGGGGCCCAGGTGGGGCAGCAGACACTTGAAGCAGATCGGGAAGAACTGGAAGGAAAGGCTGCCATGAGGGAGAGCAGGGGGTCCCTGGATCCACTTTCTCTGGCTCGAGCTGCCCTCCCTCAATACATTCCTCAGCTCTCGGCGGACACCGGCTGTGTGCTGTGTTTCTGGTCACCCAGGGGGTGCCAGGCACAGCCACCCCAAGTATTCAATAAACCCTACTGGAATACAGTCCTGTAGAATCTGCTACTATTTTGTGCATAATGTGAGCCTGCCCCGTGCCCACCACCCTTCTGTGGAGGACTGTGCACTGAGAGGTTCTACTTTTCTTCTCGGTGGACAAAGCAACCTGAGACTGACCCTGGCCTGCTTCCTCCTACCCGACCCCAACCCCCAGGTCTGGACCTGGGGATCCCCAGGAGAGTTCAGCCCCTCCGGCCACCCCATGCTGCCCCCTTAGGGCACTCGGAAGACTGCTGGCCCTTCTCCCAGGTAATGGCTTATTATCAACAGAACAGCAGTATTTGATTCCAGACCAGCCACTGACTGGGCTGCTCAACCTCTCTGGGCCTCGGGCTCCTCAGCTGAGGCCCGGCTTTCACCATTCAGGGTGGGTCTGGTCGGCCCCCCTCCCAGGACCCTGTACCTCTCAGCTCCACCTTGCCGCTGTAGCTGCCCAGGTAGTGGGCATCAGTGGAAGGGGTGTAGCACTCATAAATGCCCGCGTCTTGGGCCTGCAGGCGAGCAATCTTGAGCACAACGGCATCGCCCTGCAGACGCTGCACCTGCACTTCCCCAGCAGCCACGCGGGGCCCGAAGACGGCATAGGAGAAGCGGGCATCCTTGGTACTGACGATGCCCAGCGCGGCCTCTGGGGCTTCAGGCCTGTACAGGAACCACTCAAAGTCCTGCTGGGCAGGGCCCTCGTAGCCGCTGACATTGCAGAAGATGGAGACGGCTGTGCCAGTCACTCGGTAGAGAGGCCCCTCTGGGACCAGCACCTCCCGGGCATGGTACCCGACACCTGCCGAGAGAGGCAAGCAGAGAGGTAGACGCCATCCCCACTACCACCAGCACCACCTACGGCTGCTCGTGAGAAAAGGAGGAGCCCAGGGAAGGTGGCGACAGACAGCTTGGGCTCTGCCCTGCGAACAGGGAAGGATGCTGGGAGGGCAAGACACCAGTCTCCCAGGGGTGGGGCAGGCCAGGTGTGCCTCAGAACTCAAGAGACCAGAAGGAAAGTGCCCATGGGTCAAAAGGAACACATCCAGTTCCCGATGTCCCCATCCTCTCTTCCAGCAGTACCCATGCTGCCTGAACCCCACCCTCTACCACTCTACCCTCAGGGCCTGGCCTGGCCAGGGGAGCCTCCTGGCTGGAAGATTCTGGTACCACATGTCCCCCTTCTTTCTTGGAGGGGAGCTAACAAACTCTTGTTCAGAAGGGTGGGCTGACCCGTAGCTGTGTCACCTGGACCAGGGGTTCCAGACAATAGAGCCAGGGGCCTGAGTTGGCCAGGGCACAGATCCGGTCAGTCCTCCCCACACAATGCCCTCCCCCCTCCAGCTGTGCCATGAGCTCACTGCTTCTCCACCCACATGCTACTAAGGAGGCTGGGCTCCTAGGGCAAGAACCAGGCTCTGTATGGGGCCCTAGGCGGCAGAGTATCCCTGCCCCAATGCCTGCCAACCTTCCCCCCCTAGCTCAGCTGCAGCATAACACCCCACGCCACTAACAAAAGCCCTCATTTGCATATGGTGTCTTCATTTACATTCGCCTCCCTTTCCGTGGGCAGACTCAGAAATCCCAGCTGCCCATTCCCAGCCCTTTCTCCTCAGAGGCCAAACCTACTTCATCATCCCAATCCCCACTCCACACCCCTTACCCCCATCCCCTAGCCAGCACTAAGACACTTCTGAGGGCTTGTGGGCTGAGCTGCTTCTTTCTCTTAGTGCTCCTCAATAGTCCCGTGTGCCTGGTTAAGAACCCCAGAATGGAAGGAAAGCTGGGTCAGCGCCCTCTTCCCATTGTACACATGTGGAAGGGAAGGCAGACATCTAGTCTCTTAGGCAAGATCTTACTGTGCCTGCATGACTCCCACACGCCTCTGCAGAAGGGCAAAGCCAAGAAGGAAGTGGGAAAACCCACTGGCTGACCCAACCAGTGTCACTCCCAGCTTCTCAGGGGGTGAGAGGGTGGGGATACCCACGGCCTTTCTGCAGGGACTACGGGAAAATGCCCAGGTGTCTGTGGTCAAACTCAGCCCTCTAGTTCTCCAGAACAGCTCCCCAGAAGACGGGGGCCGGGTTCTCTCGGCCCCTTCTTCCTGCAGCTAAGTCACGGGGTAAACTTGTGGTCAGTTGGTCAGAACGCGGACAGAGAGTCCGGGAGTTTGGGTTTCCAGCCCTGCCCCCACCCCAGCTCTAACTGCACAGCCTGAGGCCTGGCTCTCCTCCTCCCAGGTTGCCTCAGTTTCCACACGGGAGCAGCGCTAAGGACGTCAGCTCTGACAGGGAGGCTGTGACTCAGGATGGGCCTGCCGCAGGCTCATTTCATAATCATCAGGGAGACAGCAGCGCTGACACCTTCCCTGGACTGCCTCAGGGCTGACTCTGTTCAGCTCGGCCCCCCTCCCACCTTCTTGGCTCCACAACTGCTGATGCTCGGAGATCCCCATGGGAAAACCACCCAACTGCCTTGGGAAATCAGCTGTCTCTCCCAGCCTGAGCCCAGCCCTCCACTGCCTTAGCCACAGGCAAGGAAGAAGGGAAAAGAGGCCTGATCTGGGTTCAAATTCGGATCCCAGCTCCCTCATGATATGGTCACTGGGGCAAGGGGCCTCACTGTGCCCGCTCGTGCAATGACGCCATCCATGCAAGTGCTCACGTGTTCTCCGCAGGCTTCTCTTCCAACGCCACTCTCCCCCACCCCCACCCCGGCCCTCTCTGTTGTGTCCTGCCCACTGGGGAAAAACAGGTCGGGTGCTAGGCAACCCGGTCCCACAGCTCCTTCATCTGTGTACATCCTCCTGCCTGGCCCCAAGGCCCCAAGGAGCAGACTCATTCTAGCCCCCAGGTACAAGGACCTGTGCAGCAGGTAGGGTTACTGCCGGTGCTCAGCCTACAGGTCTGGTCTAGAAACACGGACAGCTAGGGTGCCCTCCTGCCTCTGCCCTGACTATGGCAGCTCTGAAGCTACCCCACAACACTCCTGTCTGGATGCCTCTTATAGGAAGTCCTCCGGTCTAGGCCAAAGCCTATCCACTATCACACCCTCACACAGCCATGCAGGAGTGGTCCAGGACATCCCTCCAAGCACCCCACAGTACAAGGGCAGGGTGCTGGGGGATCCCAGGGCCGCTTCTCCTTAGGCAGGGAAGCTGGACCGAAGGGGTGTGACGGTGGGGGGGAGCAGGGAGTATTCGAAAAGCCAAGGGTCATCTGGAAGAGGGGAGAAGAGGCAAAGCAGGACCAGCACAGGGTGGAGATGGGGGTGGGGGGAGGAACTGCACCCCAGCCACAGATAATGAACTGTGGGGAGAAAGGGGGCCATTAGGGGTGACTTAACTTCAAAGATCATGAGCACTGGACCCTGGGCCTCCAGCCAACTCTGGGGCAATTATGAAGACCGGCAGTGTCTGCCCACGCAGGGTGAGCACCCAAGGCCAGCCTGGGCTGAGTGTGGGGCAGGGGGATTACACTGTACACCTCAGGGCCTGGGTTTGCCCCCCCGTAAACCTGGATAGGGCCCTAACGCCCTCCCACCCCCACCCTAGCCCCGGCCTGGCGCTCAGGGGCCTTCCTCCTCTCAGGGCTGTCTCAGCGGGTAGCTGGACTCCAAGCCTCGGAGGCTGGGGGCGCCCCTGCAGAAGGGGGCTCCGGGGACTGGGAAACGCCGGGGAGGCAGGCGGTTGGCACCTGTCTGGTGGGCCCGGGGTGGACTTACCCAGCATTAGCAGAAGCAGCAATAGCGGAGGTGACGGCGGCGGGGGGCCGAGGGCGC